TTTTTTTTTTTTGGTTTTTGTTGCTATCATTACTGCACCAATTTTATATTTGTCTTGGGCTTACAATATGAATCGTTAACTTAATCTAGTCCACTTAGTGTTTAGGTGTACCATTTCACATAAAATGTAGGAACCTTGTAGAATTCCATTTACCCCTTAGTTTTTATATTATTATTATATATACCACATCTACCTATGTTTTAAGTCCTGGAGTACATTGTTATGGTAATTTTTGCTTTACACAATCCTGTCTTTTAAAGACATTAAAAGGTGAAAAAAATACATACTTTTAACAATTACCCTTTTTTCTTGAGTAGGGGTCAAGTTTTCCTATTACTTCCCATATTTATTAATTTTTAGCTGTATATTAGACATAATGAAGGATACATAGCATAGTTTCTAGATTTTGTTATCTTCCTCTGGAGGTTATTGGCTTATTGTTTGTTTGTTTGTTTGTTTGTTTTAGCAGGCTATTAAATTTGATGAGTGCAGACTCCAAGCTCTGATTCCCTGTACTGAATAATAAATGTAAATCTCTTCAGGCCTTTCAGCTGTTGCTTTTATAGTAGGCCATTTTGAATCTCTTCCATGAATATACTGATCAAGGACTTTAGGCATTTTTTTGTGGTTCACACCTTCCTTGCTTGAATGTCTTGTAGATGTCTATTTTGCCAGTGATACTAAATTATTTTAAGGAATGAAAATTTTGAGTTATCATAATAACTATAATGATAGCAGTTAGTTTATAATAAAGTCTTTGCTAAAATCTTGTTAATATTTTTTCTCATTTTTTTCTGTTTCAGGAACTTAAGAGATTTAAGAACTTTGTAAACTACTGTCCTCCTTTTGATATTGTCATTGATGGGCTCAATGTTGCCAAAATGATTCCTAAAGTCCGTGAATCTCAAGTTGTAAGTATAAGTTTAATTTTGTTATTGTAAGTCTCCAGAGATATTTATTATACCCATTTGTGATCATCTGTGCATCTCTTCACTTCTCATTTTTCCTTTCTCCAAAAATAAGCTTCTACAGCTGCCACAGTGCTAACTACTCCAATTTCCATCTAGCAGTACAAAGTTTGAATTTCTCCACATATTCGCCAAGGCTTATTATTATCAGTCTTTTTTATTATAACCATCATAGTGTGCATGAAGTGGTATCTCATTGAGGTATTGACTAGCATTTCCTCATAATGCATGATACCGAACAGCTTTGCATGTGTTTATTAGACATTTGTGTATCTTCTTTGGAAAAATGTCTTTTTATATCGTTTGTCTGTTTTAGTAAGGTTGTCTTCTACTAAGCTATACTTTTTCATTTGTATTCTGAATATTAGACTTTTACCAGTTAGATGATTTGTGAATGTGTTCTCCCATTTGGATTCTTATTTCAGTTCCTTGGTGGTATCCTTTAAGATGCTAAAGTTTTGAATTTTGATGAAGCCCAATTTTAATTTTTTTGCTGTAATGTTGGTACCATATCTTTAAAAAATCATTGCATTTCCAAGGTCATAAAGATTTATGCCTGCTTTCTTTTGAAAATTGAAAAATTTTAGTTCTCATATTTATAGTGTCTGCATTTTTACAGAAACAGCCTGTGTACATGATAAGCAAACATATTTTGGAGCATATTGAAATTCAGAAAGGACTAGCCTGAGCCCTCTCTAATTCACTTGTTTAACCTTCTATAAATCTGGGCAAGATAAGACTTTCTATGTAGCTTGTAGATGTTTTTTCAGTATATGGTCTACCCTGCTTTAAAATATTTGATTTCAAATTTCCAAAAGAAAGAAGGTACTGGTTTGCATTATTTTAAAAGTGAAGGATTCAATTAAAAAACACCAAAAAACAAAACAACAATGAAGAGATAACAACAAATCAGACATTCTGCAGGGGAAGGGCAGGGAAAGAGACCAAAGGAAGGGCAGAAAGAATACAAGGGACTCTGATGATGGTGCATGGACGAATTGGTGGTGGAAATTCTGTGGGGGCAATACCTGAGAAAAGAAAGAAAACATTGTAAAAAAAAGGAACAGTGATATAAAAATACATACATACATGCAAACACACATACATACATATATATAAAGCTTGTATATACACACATAAAAAAGAATGAAGGGTTCTTCTGAGTGACTGAAGGATGATTTATATAGCTTGATTTTGAGAAGGACAGTTAGCATCTTAGCAGGAGATTATTTTGATTCAGTTACTGTTTATTGAGCACCTATTCCATGACCTACATGTTTTTTTAACTGGAGGTTTGTATCTTTTGACCCCTTTCACCCACCAAACACACCCCTACCATGGATTTCTTTTTACAAATGAACCATCTCTCACCCACATGTTACTTCGGTCCTTACAAAAGATTCTTTCTAGTTTCTCTCATGAGATGGAGTCTGGCTTTGCCTTATGACTTGTTTGACCAGTAGAGTGTGTTAGAAATAGGTCTGCAGGACTCAAAGACTCAAGAGATCATGAGAGAGAGAGAGAAGGGAGAGAAAGAGAAGTAGGAGAACTTGAGCAAGCAGCCATCTCAGTGAAGGCTCCAGACATAAGCAAAGTCGTCTCAGACCAGTCAGCCTCCAGGCACCCTGACAACTGATTGTGAACATATGAAAGAGCCTTCCAACTGACAGATCTATCTTACATTTTTTCAATTTGGGGTTCCAAATTGAACAAGCAATTTGACTTTTATAAGCAGCTCTGAAGTTTCACTTTTTTGCCCTGATGCTTAGAATCTGAACTTGAGTCTCTAAATAAATAGCTAACTTCTCTGTAGAGTAGCTAAATAAGAAATACATCAGCAGTGTAGGGAAAATTAAAAGACTTGTCAGGATAGACTAGGTCATGCTGCAGTAATAACCCCAAAATTTCTGTGGCATACACCACTGAATTATTATTGTCCTTGCTATTGTAGGTTATCTATGTCATCATCCTTCTCTTCCAGGTCCCAGAATAACTTTCTAAAAAATTGCCAGTCGCTATGACAGAGGGAAAAAGTGGTGAAGCACATACTGGCACATAAAACTTTTGCTTAGAAATGGTACCCATACCTTTTGTTCATATTTTATTAACAGCAAATTCAACAGCTGATACCTTACTGAGTTTAGGATAGGGAAAGCAGTCCTATGTAATGCTTTGAAGGAAAGACAATTTAGTATTTTTGAAAAGTTCTGGTGAGTACTATACTGAGGTTGTTACTGTTGGCTCGCTGTAGGGTAGTTAAAATCAGGCTTTTTTGCTGTCCCCTGCCATTAACATCTATGAGTAGCACCTGCGGTCTTGCAAGAGCACCTGTTATGGACACCTGGGTCCAGAGAGCATGGGGTATACATATATGTAAATAAGGACATGTATGGCAAAGGGGTATAAGTGTGGTGTCACTCTGAGGCTGGAGGTCAGATGAGAGGAGAGAGTCAGAAATGCTGAGCAAGATAGCTGGTCTGACCTCTGGTATAGTATTGAAAGCCTGTACAAATGTTCTGAAGACTCCAAATTTACCTTTTCATCTGCAAGAACTGACAATGAACCTACCAGCTGGGTTGGTGCAAAACACTAACCCAAGAGCTAGAGATGAATTTCAACATGACTCTTGCCTGGATTCTGTTTCTGTTTTTCCAATACCACACTCCTTCACTACAGTGTGGAAAGATCCTTTTTTTAACTGAAATGATTTGGTTGGAATCCTAAACTCTTTTTGACTCATACTTCATTAATACTTTCATTTTAAGATGGGCTTTTCTTTTGAGCCATCAAGTCATCATTAATAATCGCTAAAGTGAGATCACTTGGGCAAACAGAGACAACATATTAACCTTTTACCTAGAAGGAAAAAAATAGGACTGGAAAGCTTCTTATCCTGTATTTTCTCTCTTTTTATCCCCCCATAAGCACACAGATACCTACCCATGATTCAGTCCTGATGTTTTTGTTCCTTGCCCCTTTTGCAGCTTGCATTTTTTATTTGTTCATCAGCAACTTTAGTAGTGTGTTACAAAGGGTAAAAGAACAATTTTAGTTGACTTTGCTAGCTGTTAAGAACTCTGTTCCCTATTTTTGTAGATAATGGGGAATTAGTTAAAATGGCTTTAGCAGAATGAAAATTTATAATGTAATTTTTAAAATTATGGCTAGGTATTAACTTTGAATGCTTTCAGTCTTACAGCGTGCTTGGGGCATTGAATAGAAAGTACTTTTGTAAAAACACTGCAGAGTTGGTTTTGACTGCCATCTCTTAGTTGGTTTTACTACAATGAAAGAAAAATGGAGTCAAGGGTATTTGGCAGTGAGTTCTCTTTTTTTCCCCCTGCCACCCAAGTTATTTTCTTTCTTTCTTTCTTTCTGCTCATATACATAACTTCTTGTAAATATTTCAATACCATTAGAAACCTAAGATACAATAAGCTATGCTCAGTGTTTTTGTCTGTATGTAGTCCTAGGCTTACTTTCTTGTCCAAACTGTAGAAATGTTAGAGTTTGACAACTGTGCTTGAAATTATGTTTCAATAATGTTAAAGTAGCTAGGAAGCTACAGTCAAATATTAAATATTTAAGTGGAATTTTTATGATACCACTTTAACTTTAAATACACCTATTTGAAGACTAGACCTTATCGGTTGACTTTTGAGGTAGAAGGTCTTTGCCCTGTGAAGGAGAATAACAATGAAGGACACTGATTGTCATGTGGGTTAAAGAATTCACCAAAAGGGCCCTCCCTGGTGGCGCAGCGGGTTGAGGCACTACACTAAGAAGCTAAAGCCACTTCCGCATGAGTTCAATCCCCACCTGCCCTGGAGGTGATCCATATGGTGCGGCAGGCCTCTCCTGATCCGCCCGCTGCTCCCCTCAGCAGTGTACTTCATCCATCTACCTCTTCTGCTCCCCACTCTGTCTCTGGTGAAGCCTCTCATCATGCCTGTACCCCAGTACATCATGCCTGTATGAACAAATAAATAAATCTTTTTAAAAAAAAAAAAAAGAATTCACCAAAGACAGTATGGAAAGTAGAAAAGGAAGATTTATTGAATTACTGCAAAGGAGCAGAGGTGAGATAAGAAAGTATTCGCCTAGCCACTGAGAGGTGTTTTCAGCTCTTCTTGAACACTGGGTTTGTAGGATATCTGTAAGATTTAAGGCACAAGTCTGCACTAGCTGTTGTCCACTAGAATGTCAGCGCAGATTTGTTTGTGTGCTCTTTTAGAATTTATATCTGCCTTTAATTGCCACAGATGAGCTCTGTTTCAAAAATGATTAGGTCTGGGGCCATTTCCCATGGCAGCTTCTTCAGTTCCTCCCAACTGTTTAAAAATTCCCATCTAAGTTCATAAGAAGGGTAGGAACTACGTTTTTAAATCCCAACAGTCTTATCCTTTCCATCTCAAAACTTGCATATCTCGCTGCTATTATTTCATTTGAATAACATACTGCCCCCAACTGCTCTAGGTGTTGGAACAATTTTTTTCCCCTGCTACTTTAAGCCCTGGTGTTGAAAACTCAATTATGCCACTTTAAATTTTGTTGATTTCTAATGATTGGATATAATATGTGATTGAAGACTTAATTTTAAACAACAGGTTAACAATATTTTTTTTTTCAAAAGGACAGAAGTGATTCGGTGTTTTTTTGTTTTATTTAAATATTTATTTATTTATGTATACAGAACGGGGGTACAGGCCAGAGGTACAAGGGCAGTGAGAGAATTCACCAGAGACAGAGTGAGGAGCATATTAGCCAGATTGACAAAGTCCACTGCTAAGGGGAGCAGCAGGAAAGACAGAGGAGGTCTGCCACGCCATGTGGGTCACCTCCCCAATGGGTGGTTGAACTCATGCTGCAGTGGCTGCGATAACTTCATAATGCTGTGCTTTAACCCCTTGTGCCAGGGAGGCCCCAAAGTAAGTCGTTAGTAT